TTTTTTTTTCAGGAACCCACTATCACTGCATAAAGCTAAATAATGGGCTCTGTTTTCTTCTGTATGACAAATGCTTTGTTTATATTTTATTTATTTTTTGTGAATCCAAAGAAAGGGCAGGGCTTGGGGATGACACTCTTGTGCCTTTTGGGGTGAGGTTCTGAGTTTGATCTCTGGCACCACAAAAAAGAAAAAGATGTAAAACATGTCACCCAGAACCAGGGGACAGGCTGCATTTGCTCTGTGGTCTTTAGTCAGTCAGATAATTTATAAAATCGCTTCCAACTCAAACATAAAGTATGTACTTAGCTTAACTGCAAAGTTCCAAGTTCATGTAAATGTCAAGCCTGTTGAGTCATCATCTCATTTACAAAATAAAATCAAGTGTGGCTTTTAATTACTTTTTTTCTCCCTTTGCCAGGGAGATTGGCACACATCAGATCGACCACAAAAAAAAAACCAGATAGGAGGGATGTGGGACTAAGGGGACACCCCTGCCCATCTACTAATTCGCTATCTTGGGAATGCAGCCTCTGTGGAAACAAGTATGGAGATGTCTCATAAAAGTCAAAATAAGGGGGCTGGAGTACCTTACTGTTACAGCGGGTAATGTGGCTTGCAGGTGGCTAACCCAGCTTCCATCCCTGACACTGCAGAGAGTCCTCCAAGCACCAGCAGGAGAGACCCCTGAGCAAATCCAGGGAGTGGGCCCCCCCTACACACTACTAGGTGTGGGCCCCAAATGAAAAAAGAAAAAAAAAAAGCTACCATGACCTTGACCTTGGACTTGACTCCTAGAACTGTCCTCCCCTGAAAGTTTTTCTTTTTTTAAGTTTCTTTTATTTTCTTAAGTTTTATTTTTTGGCTTTTTGAGAGTCACACCCAATGATGCTCAGAAATGACTCCTGTGGTGCTCAAGAATTACTCCTGGTGGTTCTTGGGGACCATATGGGATGCCAGGGATCAAACCTGCAAGGCAAATACCCAGCCCACTCTACTATCACTCCAGGCTTGCTTTTCCCTCCCTCCCTCCCTCCATCCCTCCTTCCCTCCCTCCTTCTCTCCTTTCTTTCTCTCTTTCTCTTTCTTTCTTTCTTTCTTTCTTTCTTTCTTTCTTTCTTTCTTTCTTTCTTTCTTATAGCAAATGGGCCAGAGGGATAGTACGGGGTAAAGCGCTTGCCTTGCATGGTGTTCAGTTGCCACATGGCATATGGTATCCCAAGCTCTGCCAGGAGTGAGCACAGAGCCTTGAGCAGGCATATGGTATCCCAAGCTCTGCCAAGAGTGAGCACAGAGCCTTGAGCACAGAGCCAGGAGTAAGTCCTGAGCACTTCCAGGTGTAGGAAGGAAGGAAGGAAGGAAGGAAGGAAGGAAGGAAAGAAATCCTTGGGATTGGGAGATAGCTTAGGGGTTGGGATGCAGGCATTGGACCCCTGGAGGTGTTGTGATCCCTGGAACCTCATGAACCCCAACACTGCCCCATCCCCATGGCGCTAGTGGCCCCCAGTGGCCCCAGGCCCCAGCACTGAACTATCTGCCTGGTTGACTGGGCCTCACCAGGAGTGCCACCCCCCCCCCCCAGCTCCTAGGGAACTGCTTGGGACGCGTACCTCAACTCCCCCCAAATGAAAGCCCTCTTTGGGCTTAGACCACCCCACTGGGCCGCAGGACATTAGCAGATGCCCCTTCTGTTCCCCACAGCCCGCCCTTGGTCCTTACCAGCTGTAATCCCTTCCCTGCAGGATGGGCCAACAGCTCAGCCCCACAGAGCTTTGTGCAGGCCTCCAGCCCTTCTCTGGGCACCACCCTCTCCTCCTCCTGGGCCAACCCATCCTCTCCTCCTCCTCCCTTCGCTCTCTACCGCCCCCCCCCCCAGCAGATGCACTTCCTCCTGGTGCAGGTGCGCCCCCAGAGAAGACGGCTGCATCGCCAGAGCACGCAGATGTTTGAGTATCTCCTGCCATCCAGCCTGTACGCTGTGCTTGGTTAGGGAGTCCCCCCGCGAGTTGAGTCCCGAGCGAGTTCCAGAATCAGCACCAGGACCTCCAAGTCGGGCGGGTGGTCCCGTGAATTCGAGGGGAGCTGAGTTCCCTGCAGCCCTGCAGACCCCACCGCCATGGCCAAGGTCTGGCCGTCAGGGGGAGCTGTGTCCTAAAGCCACCATAGCAACCGAGTGTGTGTGTGTGTGTGTGTAAAGGGTGAAGCCAACCATCATATGGTTTTCTTTATAATTTGGGAGGGGGGTTTGGGGGACGCCACACCTGGCAATGCTCAGGCAATGCTCACACCTGGTTTGTAAGACCATATGAGGTGCCAGGGATTGAGCTGGGTTTGGCCCCTGTACTATCTCTACAGCCCCTTCTAATTTTCACTTCATTGGTGTGGGGACCTCTCTGGCGGTGCCTGGGGGAGCTCACGCTCATCCCTGGAAGTATGTGACCTGGTAGATGGACCCAGTGCTGGTTCACAAGTGCTGAGTGGGGACCATTTGATGGGAAGCAAACCCAGGGCCTTGCACACGCCTGGCACAAGCTTCAGCCCTTTCAGTCACCTCCCGTGACCTGACGTGGGTTTTTAATACACTTTCCTTATTTAGTGGGCAGGGGCAGGGGGCAGGCACACCCAGTGGTGCTCAGGATTTATTCCTGGCTCTGCATTCAGGGATCATGCCTGGCAGGGCTCAGGAGACCAGAATGGGGTACCAGGGATCGAGCTTGGGTTGGCTGCATGCAAGGTAGATGCCCTACCCACTGTGTATCTCTCGGGCCCCAATACATTCCCCTAGAAAGGACTTGAGTTTGAGAAATATGGTTACTCTAGTGTTCATGGCATTGAGGTACAGTACCCTTGACCCTCCCCCGCAAATCACCTCTCTTCCCATCTTCATCTGCTCCCTGCACACAGTTTGTTCAACAGTATTGTAATCCAAGTCCAAGGGTTTGTCACTTTTCAGTGCTGTCTAGTGTCTCTGTTCTTCTCTGTTCCATAAATAAGATCATCTAGTACCTATCCTCCCTGATTTAGTTGGCTTAACACAATCGCCTCCAGTTCCATCCCTGTTGCCTCGAGCGGCGTGATCTCATCCTTCCTGCATCATCGTGTTCCACTGTGCACCTGGGTTGGCCACAGCTTTTTAATCCATTTGCCAGTCCTTGCTCACCTGGGCTGTGCCGTTATCCTGGCTATGAGCACTGGCATGCATAGATCTTTATGAGCACTGGCATGCATAGATCTTTTTGAATGAATGGTTTTTTTTTTTTTTTTTTGCTTTTTGGGTCACACCTGGCGATGCACAGTGGTTACTCTTGACTCTACACTCAGGAATTACTCCTGGCGGTGCTCGGGGGACCATATGGGATGCTGGAAATGGAACCCAGGTTGGCCACGTGCAAGGCAAATGCCCTACCTGCTGTGCTATTACTCCAGCCCCAATGTTTTTGTATTTGGGGGTGAACCATTTCTTTGAACCAAAGAGCCCACGGAGGACCATCCCTCTGACGGACATCCCTGCTGTCCATGAGCTCATTCTTTTTCCTGCCCACAGACCCCTGCAAAGCCATGCACAGACCACAGGGCACATACAACTTCTGGGAAGCCTTTCCTAGGTCTTTGACAAGTCACAGTCAGTCCCTCTGAGCACCCAGGAGATCTGGGCTCTTACACTGGAGATTAAGAAAGTAAGTTTTGGGCTAGAGATAATAGAGGGGTGTAGGAACTCGTCTTGAATGCAGCCAACTCTAGTTTGATCTCTGGCACCACTTAACGGTCCAACAACCACTGCGAGGAGTGACCCCTGAGCACGGAACCAGGAGTTAGCCATGAGCACAGCTGGGCCTGGACCATACCTTTCCCTTCCCCCCCAAGGAAAAGATATGTTTAGGCTTGAGGGGTATACAGGAGGCAGGGGGTCTGCATGTATGCAAACAAGCAGAGTTCAAATCTCCAGAACCACACACGGTTCCCCAAGCATTGCGAGGGGGGTGCTCCCAGAGCTCAGCTAGGAACAGCTCCTGAGCACTTCCAGATGTGGCCCCAAGACCAACACAAATAAAATGAAAATTTAGGGGATGCATAGTATAGCAAGTAGCTGACCCAGGTTTAATCCCTGGAGCATCACCAGGAGTGATCCTGGAGTGCAGAGTCAGGAATGAGCCCTGAGCACTGCTGGGTGTGGCCCCTCTCTCCCCCCCCCCCCCAATAAAATACAGTAATTTTGGGCAGAGGGAATGTGGTTTTAGGGATCCAGCCAATTTGGCCCTGTGCAAGGCAAGCAAGCACCTGAACCCCTGTTCTTGCTCTTCGGCCCTGGTACAGGAATTTATCCTTTGGGAGCTACACACTCAGCAGTGCTCCGGGCTTACTTCTGAAAGTGCTCTGGGGAGCATATGGGATGCCAGGGATTGAACCTGGCCTGGTTGCTTGCAAGGCAAATGCTCTACCAGCCATTCTACCAGTCTGGCCCCCAGCACAGGAATTTTTAAAAGGTAAAACTTTGCAGGGCGGGGAAAAAGGATCAAAACAAGGCAGGCAACATGGAGAGAGACTTTAGAAAAGTCAACAACCCTTTATTTCTAGTTTGACTAAAGAAACTTAAATTACTAGGAAAATATCTGCCCATCAGGCTCAAGTTGATCCAAAAGACCCAGAGTCCAGGGGCTGACCAGAGTTCCCGGCCGGGACGAACCCGGGTAGTTTCTGGGTTCTGCCTGAGGGCGTCCCAGCCTCGCCCCTGAAGTCCAGTCTCCTGTCTGTGGCCCAACCTACAAGCACTCCAATGTGGGTCCACTCGACAGTGACAGACCTTTATCTTTTAGTGTTTAAGAGACCTTGATTTTGGGGGGGGTGAGGAATTAATTGCAGGTGCCTTAAGTGGCTGCGCTGTTTCCCCCGCTCCCACATCTCTCTGCAGAAGCATTCTAGACATGGGCATGATTTAGATGGCTTCGAAAGAGGAAGAGAGCGCGCGGCACCCCCTCCTCCCCCCCGCCCCCCGTCCTGTAGTCACCCCCACCGAGGGCCTTTCTGCTGCAGGAACATGGGGCGTGGGTGGACGGAAGTTGGTAGGAGCCTCAGCCCAGGCGGGCCAGCTCCGGTGCTTCTGTGCAAAGTGCTGTGGGGAGGAATCAGCTCCTCAGTGGGTGTTTGGAAACGAGACGAGGGAGACGTGGTCCCAGGCGTCGTCTGTGGAAGAGCTGTCCTTGTCTAGAGTGTCCAGGATTGGCTGGGCCGGGTCCCTGAGATACTTTGAGGGTAGAAAAGCAACAGCGGGTGGGTTAGTACCGATTCTCTGCAGCAGGCCCTGTTCCTTGTAGTGTGGCAGGCAGAGAGCACACAAGGGTTGGGGCGCTTGCCGTGGGCATGGCCAACTGTGGTTCAAATCCCCCCAGTGCCACCCACGTACGGTTTCCCCCTGGACCCCCAGCTGGGCCAGGAGTGAACCCCAAGCACAGCCAGGTCTGGCCCCCAAGCCCCCCCCAAGACAGAAACAAAAGTTTGGGGCTGGAGTGATAGCACAGTGGGTAGGGCGTTTGCCTTGCACGTGGCTGACCCAGGTTTGATTCCCAGAATCCTATGTGGTCCCCCGAGCACCACCAGGAGTGATTCCTGAGTGCAGAGTCAGGAGTAACCCCTGAGCATTGCCAGGTGTGACCCAAAAAGCAAAAAAAAAAAGTTTTAGCTGGGACCCTCATATTTAGTCTAGGGGTGCCAGGGATGGAAGCCAGGGCCTCAGCCGGACATAGCGTGCACCTGCCCAAGGAACCCTCACCCGTGACCCCCGTGCAGCCTCTTCACTGGGGATCCAGAAGGCTGTTCTGCTGGCCCAGGAAACAACTTCTCCATCCATTGAACACTATCATCCCACGCTTCACGGATCACTCAACCACGACTCCCCAGGCTGACCTGGTTTGTTTTTATGCAAGTGTAGATGGGCCGGGAACCCAGGAAGTGCTGATTGCAGGTAGGAGGCTGAACCCTGAAAGGGCCTCTGCCAAGCCTGGCGTTCCCCAGAAAGAGAGGGGGCTGGGCCCCTGGCCATCACTGACCCAGGGGGACGAGGAGAAAGTGGGTAGGTGGCCTTTCTTTCTTTCTTTCTTTCTTTCTTTCTTTCTTTCTTTCTTTCTTTCTTTCTTTCTTTCTTTCCTTCCTTTCTTCCCTCCTTCCTTCCTTCCTTTCTTGTTGTTTTGGATTTTGGACCATACCTGTTAGTGCTCAGGGCTTACTCCTGGCTCTGTGCTCAGGGATTATTCCTGGCAGGACTTGGGGGACCATATGGGATGCCGGGGATCGAACCCAGACTGGCAGCTGCAAGGCCAGCGCCATCCCTATGGTACTACTGCTCTGGCCCCTTGGCAGGGATTATTTTTTTCAGAGCTGCTGTTTCCTGGGGCACAGGCAGAGACTAAAGATCCGACCAGCACTGCCCTGGGGCCTATGTCCAGCACTCCAAGCGTCAGTTTTCCTTTGGCTCCTGCCCCCAGCGTTGGGCAGGTCGTGAAGTCACCAGAAGTCACCAGAGTTAGCCCGAAGCTTGTGCCAGGTCCCGGGAAATGCCAGCTGGGCCCCCGCCATGCAGCCCGCTGAGTTTCAGGCTTGGTAGAAAGAGGAACCTCAGCACCACGTGTGCAGGGGAAGCCTCAGAGGCCGTGTGAACTCTGACTCATCCGTCTCGCTCTGAGGGACACTTTTCACACTTTCCCAGGAAAATGAACCGCAAGACCTTATGGTTTAAGTCACACCCCAAAGGTCAGATTCACTCACGAGGAGACTAACGGGGAAGTCTGGGGAGCAGCGGCGACCATGAACGAAGGAAAAGGCCCGGACACCAAGAGCTGTAGTTTTGGGTTTTAGTGTTTTGTTTTGTTTTTTTTCCTTTGGTGCCACACCTGGCAGTGCTCAGGGCTGACTCCTGGCTCTGTGCTCAAGGATCACTCCGGGCACATTCAGGGGACCATAAGGGCTGCATGGAAGTATCCTACCCACTGTACTATTGTACTATCCTTCCGGCCCTCACAGCCCCTTTTCTGCAACAGTACTCTAGCCATCTCCTCACCAGCCTGACCACCTTCTGTTCCCGGGGCTACTGCATTCATTCACTTCTCTGCCTCACCCAGGGACTGCTCGACCGGGCCGCGCCCAGCTCAGGGCTTAGTCCTGGCTCTGCGCTCAGGAATCACTCCTGGCAGGCTCAAGGGTCTATATGGGGTGCCGGGGATTGAATCATGGTTGGCAAGTACTTTGCCTGCTGTACTGTGACTCTCTGACCCCAAATTCATTTTTAAAATGTATTTAATATTATTATCATTTGTGTGGGGGTGGGTAGGTGGGAGGGGGGCACACCCAGCAATGCTCGGGGCTTATCCTGGCTCTGTACTCGGGAATTACTCCGTGCAAGGCTCGGGAGAGCCATATTAGGTGCTGGGGATTGAACCTGTGTCTACTGCGTACAAGGCAAATGCCCTACCCGCTGTACTATCACTTCGTTCCCCCCTCATTTGGTTTTAAATTCTACCTTATTATTCTTTACTTCATTTTCGGTTTTTGGTTTTGTTTTGGGGATTCCACACCTGGTGGTGCTTGGGGGCGACTCCTAACTCTGCTTGGGGGTCGCTCCTGGTAGTGCTCGAGGGACCATCCGTGCTGAGATGTAGAGTAGAACCCAGCACTGCTCCAGATCTTGGAGACGCCTGCCCAACCACTATTTATTTATTTATTTATTTATCTATCTATCTATCTTTGGTTTCTGGGCCACACCCTCTGGTGCTCAGGGCTGACTCCTGGCTCTGTGACTCCCGGCTCTGTGCTCAGGGATCACTCTTGGTTGGGCACAGGTGACCCTATGGGGTGCCAGGGATGAGATCCAGGTCAGCCACCAGCAAGGCAAGTGCCTTTGCTACTGTACAGTCTCACCAGTCCCTATTTTTCTGTTTGTTCTTGGATCACGCCTTGCGATGCTCAAACAGCGCCTCCAGGCTGGGTGCTCGGGGTCACTCCGGGCAGTGCTGGGTGGGGGGGGATGAGGGGAACCAAGTGGAGCTGGGGGTCGAACCCAGACCTCCCACAACCAAAGCATGTCTCTGCCCAGGGAACTGTTTCCCTGGCCTGGTCTGGCTATTCTCGCTGCCGCCTTAAGTGAGATTCTGCAGTGTTTGTCTTTTTTTTTTTTTTTTTTTTTTAGCTTTTTGGGTCACACCTGGCAATGCACAGGGGTTACTCCTGGCTCATGCACTCAGGAATTACTCCTGGAGGTGCTCGGCGGACCACATGGAATGCTGGGAATCGAACCTGGGTTGGCCACGTGCAAGGCAAGCACCCTACCCGCTGTGCTATCACTCCAGCCCCAGTGCTTGTCTTTTTTTGTGACCTTTCTTCACTTTCCACCATACCCCTGGGGTCTCCTGGGTCAGAATTTCACTCCTTCTTAAAGCTGGGTAATAGCCCATGCTCTGCAAATGCCACGAAACACCCGCCTATTGAGAGGCACTGGCATTGCTTTCACCTGTTTTGGGGGGAGGGAAGGAATGCCTGGTGATGCTGGGGACCACAAGGGCTATCTCAAGATAGCCTGGGGTGGGGGGGAAGGAGGTACAGTACAGTAAGTACCAGGGTCCAAACTCTTGCAGATCCCAGACATCTGCCGAGCCATGATACCCTGGCCCGACCTGTCGATGGTGTCGGGGGTGTGCAAGTGTGTCACAGTTCACTTGAACAACAAGCCCGGGGCCCTGGACCCAGGGACTGTTCGACCGGGCGGCGCCCAGCATCGGGGCAGTGGGTGGACATACCTCTTCGATCTGTAAGGGGATGCGGGGCGGCCTGTGGAACCAGAGCTTAATGAGGTCCCTGTATCTCAGGACGAGGAAGAGACAGACCACCACCAGTATGATCAGCACCAGGAAGATGCTCAGGGCGATGACGATGACCTGCTGCAGCTCGGCGGAGGCTACGGAGAGGAGGAGAAGGGTCGGATGCGTGCGCCGCAGGTCACGCGCCCCCAGCGCGCCCCTCGTCCGTCCCACCCCAACACTGGCCCTTGCAGGAGCTCAGCTCGAGCCCGCCAAGGCTGGCGATCACCTCCTCGCCCCCCGCCGCCGACCCCCGGCTTTGCCATGTGGGGTCTTGCCCCTAGGGCACGGGAAGGCGCGGGTACCATCTCGGCCTGTCTCGCTGCATGCGACGTCGCTGTAGGAACCAGACTCCGAGAGGCTCTGCTGCTTCTCCCACAGCTGGGCGCGCACACGCACGCAGTAGCGGCGCCAGGGTCTCAGGCCCGTCAGCTGGATGAGGGTCTCCCTGTAGGCGTCTTCATTCTAGGCAAAGACCGGGACGGCCGCGGTGTCAAACATTCCCGCCTCCCTCCCCCCTCCCCGCAGTCCACAAAGCCGGGCTCAGCCTTCCCCGCCGGGCCTAGGCTCAGAGGGCACAAGCAGCCAAGGAGAAGGTTCTGCTTGGATTCATTTGTTATTATTATTTTTTTATTATTGCTATTTTTATTCTATTATTCTATCTGTTTTGGGGGCCACACCTAACTGCGCCCAGGGGTCACTCCTAGCGGGGCTCAGGGGAGCATAGGCAGTGCCAGGAACCAAACAGGGCTCCAGCCCCTGCTGATTTTGGGGGGGGGCGATCACACCCCACGATGCTCAGGGGTTACTCCTGGCTCTGCACTCAGGAATCACTCCTGGCGGTGCTGGAGGTGGGGAGGGGGACGACCCTATGGGATGCTGAGAATTAAGCCCAGGTCAGCTGCGTGCAAGGCAAACAAACGCCCTCTCCACTGTACTATCGCTCCAGCGCCTCCTGCTGATTTTTAACTTGCTGCCCCCCCCCCCACCTCCGAGTAGGGCTTCTGGGCCATGGCTGGGGCATCTGGTGGCCAGCAGGGCTACCCAGTGGTGCTCTGGGATGCACACGGGGTCTGGGAACACAAGTGCTCTGGCATCCCCTGGCAAGATAAAATGTTATTCTCTTGAAGATGATCCTGTGTTTCCGCTTACACCAGTTGTGAGTCTGTCTTCAGTGAGATGCACCTTCTCCAGGATTTATTTATTTATTTTTTTGCTGGCTCTGCACTCAGGAATTACTCCTGGCGGTGCTTGGGGGACCATATGAGATGCTGGGAATTGAACCCAGGTTGGCCGCATGCAAGGCAAACACCTTACCCCCTGTATATCACTCCAGCCCTTCAGGATTTTTATATTATTAATTTTTTTCCTTTTTGATGTTGAGCCACACCCAGTGGTGCTCAGTGGTGCTGACTCCTGACTCGGCACTGGGGGATTCACTCCTGGTGGGGCTCATTTATTTATTTATATGGGGTACCAGGGATCAAACATGGATTAGCTGAAGAGCCTTTGGTCCCAAGACCCTCCCAGACATGCACAAAACTGCAGCTGATGCCCAGCCCTGGACTCTGTGTTACTCCCGAGCCCTCCAGAGCACTGAGGAGGGGCTGCTCAAAACTCGGGAGCACTGACTGACAGTGGAGTGAGGAGAATGAACGCTGTGATCGCAGTTATGTGAATGTGACTCCCTGACATCTCACTGTGATTGCCGTTACATGAATGAGACTCCCTGACATCTCATTGTGATTGCAGTTATGTGAATATGACTCCCTGACATCTCCCTGTGCTCAGCATCTGGGGACGGTGGTTAGCCACGAGTACCTGAAAACATGCAGAGTGAAACCACAGGTGCCTCTGCTGGAGAAGAAACACGGCCATAGCCGGAGGAAGATAGCAATTAAGAACATGGACCCAGAGCCCAGGGCTTGCACTGCCAGTTGCCGGCCCTTCACCCCATCTCTGAAACACTCGCCAGGAAGGTGAAAATGAGGTGGTGGAAGCCAAGGCCTGGTCCGAAGCCAGACACAGAAGCACAGAGAGAGCTCGTGCCCCTAAGTGTGTGTCACTGGGAACCACTAGTGAAGGGTCAGCAGGCAGCTGGGAAGGGATGACAAGAAGTGACTCTTGGCTGCTGGGGGCCCGGGCAGGGAGAGGGTTGAGGCCATTTATCACCCCCCCTTTTTTTAAATTAATTAATTTATTTTTTTGCTTTTTGGGTCACACCCGGCGATGCACAGGGGTTACTCCTGGCTCTGCACTCAGGAGTTACTCCTGGTGGTGCTCAGGGGACCATATGGGATGCTGGGAGTCGAACCCAGGTTGGCCGCGTGCAAGGCAAACGCCCTACCCACTGTGCTATCTCTCCAGCCCCTCACCCCTTTCTGTTTTCTGTTTTTCAGTCACACCCCACTATGCTCAGGGCTGACTCCTGGTAGTGCTTGAGGGACCATATAGGTATGCCAAGGGTCGAACCGGATCAGCCGCAAACAAGGCAAGCACCCTCCCCGCTGTGCTCTTTCCAGGCCTTCTCAGATCAGAGCTGCCAGCCCTTCTCCCCCGAACCTTCTTGCTCCTTCCTATGGCCTTGGCCCCTCTTTGCCAACAACTAGATCCGAGAGATGGAGATGGCCAAATCTTGCAGGCTGCAGAGGTGGGGTGCGTGTTGGAGAAAAAGGGCCCAGGGGACACCCCCAGCTCCAGTGTGGCGGAGGGCCTGAGCCGGGTGAGGACAGGGCCTGAGCCGGGTGAGGACAGGGCCGGTGCCGGGCTCCCCTCACACTCCCTTGGTCCCCTGGCTCCACCGGCAGGACATCAGGACATGAGGAGGAACGCGTCCTTACCTTCTCACACCTGGCCTCGTCCCAGTCTTCCCAGTAGCACACAAAATAGCGGAAAAACACCTTGTTTTCCTTGCTGGATATCTTGAAGGGGTCAGAGAAGGAGACGATGAGGGAGCCTCCTCCGGGCTTCACCGACAGGTTTTCTGGAGGTCCGATGGTAACTGGAAGGTATTCACAACAGTCTGTAAATACGGCGCACACACCTGGCCCCTACGGGCACAGTGTGGATGCCTCGTCCTGACGTGCTAGTACTTGCACCCACTGGACCCACGCTCAGATGCCCACTCCTTTTTTTTTTTTCCTTTTTGGGTCACACACACCTGGTGATGCACAAGGGTGGTTACTCCTGGCTCTGCACTCAGGAATCACTCCTGCCAGTGCTGGGAATCAAACCCGGGTCGGCTGCATGCAAGGCAAAGGCCCTACCCGCTGTGCTATCGCTCCAGCCCCCTGGGCCCTCTTCTGAACAGTAGCAGGTGACAGAGACAGGCGCCCCGCTTGCTTTCACATACTTCAGTGTCCTATTTAAGGGAAAACAACCTGGGGTTGGCGGGCGCAGGCGTTAGGGCACTTGCCTTACCAGTTGGCCGGGGGGTTGCCAGCTTCTTGACTGACAGAAGCAGGCAGGGTCCAGGGGAAGTCTCCCTCCCCTCCTCCTCACCTTAGCTCAGCGCACCCTGGAATCATCTTATTTCTGTTCGAAACGCAGAGAGAGGGGCAAGCAAGGACACTCTGAGGACTCTGAGGACACCTATGTGGACTCTGGGCTCTGCTTTCCTGCAACACGTGGCTGTTACCGTGTTTTTTTGTTTTTGTTTTTTAATAAATCTTTGGTTTTTTTTCTTTTTTTTGTTTTGTTTTTGCTTTTTGGGTCATACCCAGCAATACTCAGGGGTTCCACCTAGCTCTGACCTCAGGAATTACTCCTGGTGGTGCTCTCGAGGGACCATGTGGGACACCGAGGATTGAATCCAGGTTGGCTTCATGCAAGGCAAACGCCCTCCCCACTGTGCTGTCGCTCTGGCCCTGTTACTGGGTTTGACTCCCACGTTTTATCCCGTGGCCCCAGCCCTGTGATGCGTGTGACGGTCACGCTGTCCTGGCACCCGCGAGCATGCCGCACCCCCTTACCATTCCGGTAGTGCTCGAACCAGGGTGCAAAGGCCCAGGCGGAGGCGCGGGAGCCCTGGTGGGCGCAGACACGCAGGGACACATTGTAGGAGTACACGAAGCCCTGGCCGGCCGTAAAGTTGCACAGCGGCGCCGCCACGCGCGAGCAGTTGATGCGTTCATCGACCACGTCACTCCACTCGGTGGTGCTGGTGCTGGGAAGGGAAGCCAAGGTCCCCCCCGTGTCAACAGGGTCCCCGCAGGCCCCCGGCCACAGGCATCCCCGCACACACCACTCCTGCCCACGCGACTGTGGGTGGGAGAGACGGCTCAGCCCAGAAAGGCGCTGCCGGCCCTGCACGCAGCCCAGTTGGCTTCAATCCCCAGCACCCCAGAGGGTCCCCCTGAGCACTGGAGTAAGGCCTGAATATTGCAGATTTGGCACAACCTCCGTTAAAATATATATTATATATTATATATATTTATATAGCACAGTGGTAGGGCGTTTGCCTTGCAAGCCACCGGCCCGGCTGAGCCAGGTTTGATTCTTCCGCCCCTCTCGGAGAGTATCTCGCCCGCACGGCAAAGCCTGGCAAGCTCCCCGTGACATACTCAATATGCCAAACACAGTAGCAACAAGTCTCACAATGGAGACGTTACTGGGTCCGCTAGAGAAAATCAATGAACAATGGGAGGACAGTGCTACACATATATTTTAATATATATATTAAGGGCTGGAGGAATAGTACAGTGGCCTTGCACGTGGCCAACCGGGGATCCATCCCCGGAATCCCATATGGTCCCCCAAGCACCGCCGGGAGTGATTCATATTATAATAAGGTGGTAAAGTGTTAGGTATGAAACCTTCTTAGCAACAGTGCTGTAAACCACAGCAGAAAAAGTTAGGGGGGAAAGAGATAAAATAAAAAAAGTGCGTCTCTGAGAGGCAGGCTGGTGAGGGGCGGCAAATGGCGGTGAGTGGGACATTGGTGGAGGGGAGTGAAAGGAGCAGTTCTGGAATATGGTATCAGGAACAACCGTGGAACTTCACTACACTGTAACGTGACAAAATTAAAACAACAACAACAACAAAAATAATAACAGATCCCTAAAATATTTAAAAGTGGCTCAAAAAGGTGGCGCTCCCTTACCTACACAGCCCCTGCATGTATGAGGCCCCGAATATCATTCCTGGCACCTCATGGTTCTCACACACACACACACACACACACACTTTAGCAATGCCAGGGGGCCCCTAGAGTCCCTCCCCAGGATAAGTCATACACTCACAAAGTTTTGTGTGGACAAGTGTCCTTGGATCCTGGGGTGCCCTGTGGGACCTGCAAAGTATCCCTGTTCCACACCCCGCCCGCCCCCAGCACAAAGCTGCCATTTCTCGCCCCACGTGCTTCCCGCAACAGTGACTCCTGGCTGGCCCTGGTGGCGTCTCCTGTGGCTTCCAGCCTGCGCTTCCCCAAGGCTCTGAGCATCGTTTCCCACACAGGTGGTCGGGGGGGGGGGCGCCGGAGTTGTGTGCGGACCCTCACCCGTCTCATTGCCGGGGTTCTTCCTGTGTCTTGGAGCTGTGGAGTGGTAAGGGCTATCTATGGGGCAATGTGCTGATCAGACAGTTTCAGTTATAGAGTGCGTGTCTGTGTGTGTGTGTGTGTGTGTGTGGTGTGTGTATGTGTGTGGTGTGTGTATGTGTGTATGTGGTTGGTATGTATGTGTGTGTGGTGTGTATGGCGTGAGGGTGTGTATGTGTGTATGTGGTATGTGTGGTGTGGGGTGTGGTGTGTGTGTGATGTGGGGTGTGTGTGGTGTGGGGTGTGGTGGTGTGTGTGTGATGTGTGGTATGTGTGTGTGGTACATGTATGGGGTCTGGTGTGTGTGTGGTGTGTGTTGCATGTGTGTGGCGTGTGTGTTGTTCAGGGGGCTGGGGAGAAAGGACCGCGGGGACAGCGATGGCCTTGTATGTGGGTGACCGACCCAGGTGCAACCCTTGGTCCCCATATGGTTCCTCTGAACCCAGCAGGAGTGATTCTTGAGCACAAAGCCAGGAGCACGCCCTGAACAAACTGACTCATTTTGTTTTGTCCTCTGGCCTCCCAAGAAGTGCACAGGGGCCGCCTGGCCACTCAGGCGGGCAGCTCACGCTCGGGCGGGTGAGGGGCTGCCCCCGGGCCCTGCACTGATCAGGGGTTCCCAGACCCAAAGGGGTGCACGGGGGCCCCCAGGCTCACCATGAGCTCTGAGCCTGACTCTCCATGGCCCCCGCTACAGGTGACCTGAATGCTTCAAACTCAAGCCGTCCCACCCTATCTTAGGGCCCCAGAGCTCCCCCAAACCCCCCACAACACTCCCAAGGCATGCGCTCTGCTCATGCGGATTTTGCTCCCTCCCCCGTAGCTGCCCATTTAGAGAAACTCAGCCTCACCCCTCGGAAATCCCCGCCAAGTTCAGGCCAGGGCTGAAGACTGACACCCCCACGTGGGACCTCTGGTTCCCGGTTCTAATCTCTGTCCTGGTCTAGGAGAGAGGCATGGGAGGAGCCTGAGCTCAGACATCACTCAGGCCTGGCAAGGCAAGGCAGGGGACATGGGAGGGGGGAAGGACAATCGCCCCTCCCGTCCCCCCAAGGCAGTCCCTCCAAACTGGGGGGCAGGGAGGGCACTCAGAATGGGCACGTGACTTTTCCAAACCTGCCAGATGCTTAAGGGTACGCTGACTCTGCTGAACTTGGGGGCTTGAGAGCCCCCAATGCTTCCAAGCCGTGCTTCTATTCCTCAGGTCCCCCTTTCTCCTCTGAGCTTCCCTTTTCTCAGAACAACCTTCATTTTTGAACGCTTCTCCAAAAATAATGTCCAGGAAGGGGAAGAGGCCCTCGGAGGAGCCAAAGGGAGGACGGGCCGGCTTGGGGAAGTCTGCGGGGGCAGGAAGCTGATTCTGACGGGGGCAGAGTGGGACAGGTGCCCTCAACGGGAGGGGGGCATACACGCCATTAATAAACAGGGCTGTCGAGAGCATGACCCACGGCAGGAAGGCGGGGTTTTGTTTTCCTGGGTTGTTTCTTTTTTTTGGGGGGGAGGGTGCTTCCCAATCAGGTGCTCAGGGGCCCGGGGGACGCTACTGTGCTACTTGGCCAGCTGGGCCTCACGCATGACCCCCTGATCTAATTTTGATTTGTTTTATTTTTTGGGTTTTATTTTTTTAGGGGGTCCACACTCTGCTGGGCTCAGAGCTTACTCCTGATGGTGCTCGGGAAGAGTCTGGTATGCTGGGCTGGGATGGAACCTGGCAGCCGCGTGCAAGGTGAGCCTTCTACCTGTTCGGTACTATCTCCTCAGCCCCGTTTTATTTTTAAATATCTTTTTAGGGGAGAGGAGGCTCCCCTCACAGCCACCAGGGCTACACCTGTTGGAACTCAGGAGGGCCACGTGGTTCCTATGATTCCACGTGTGCCAATTCCCTGCTCATGTCACAAACAAGGAAAAGCTCTACCTAGGGCTGGAGAAATGAGACAGCGGGCAGGGTGCTTGCCTTGCATGTGGCTGATCTGCGTTCGATCCCAGTATCTTCCACTGTCCCCCATATCCTGCTGGGAGTGAGCTCTGAGCACAGAGCGAGTAGTAAGCCCTGAGCACCTGCCAGATGTGACCACCCCCCCCTCCCCCAGATCCCCCAAAACCCAAAGTGTTAAAGTCTGGCTTCAGCAGTTCAGGCTGAAGAAGCCAGAGGCAGAAGCAGCATTGGTTCCCGTCACTGCTGACCCCACACGGTCCACACCTGGGTGGGAACACGAGCTCCTATGATCAACAAGTCAAAATATTTACACAGAAAGAATCATGGAGGGGAAAAAACCTCACCCAAGGAGCTAGAGAGATAGCACAGTGGGCGGGGCACTTGGCTTGGACAAACCTGACTGGATTCCAATTCCGGCGCCCCATATGGTCCCCCCCCTCACCCCCAGACCAGCAGGAGTGATCCCTGAATGCAGAGCTAGGAGCCAGCACTGGGCACAGTCAGATGAGGCCCCCAAACCCCGAACAAATAAAAACCACTCTAGATTTTTAAAAAAAGGAAGCCAAAGGAAGTGGGAGCAGAAGTGTGACCTAAGTTTTGTCTCAGGTTTTACACCCAGAACAGTCAATCTTCAGATAAGACTTTGTAGTTGGAAAGAAGCTTCTGGGGAGACACCCCCAGGAGGGAGCCCTGCCTTGGACTGGAAGGGCCTGGGGCTGGCTGCAGTTCCTGCTCTCTGCTCTTCTGGGCTTGGCTGATTTTTCTTTCTTTCTTTCTTTCTTTCTTTCTTTCTTTCTTTCTTTCTTTCTAATATAGGAGTATTGCTATTTATTCAGCCATTGATTCAGCTGATTGAGTTGAGCATGAACTCCACTTGGCTGATTTTTCTTGATCGCTATTTAGATCAGAAAGGAATAACAGTTGGAAAGATGTGGGGAGGGATATGGAGACAGCTCAAGGGGCTGGAACACAGACTTTGCACATGGGAAGTCGAGGTTCCAACTTCCAACCCTGAGCAGAGCTGGTTTCGACCACCCCCCATACTCCGTAAGCACCAAGCTGGGTGTAGCACCCCCAAAACCCCAGCACGGCTGGGAGTGGCACAGACAAACCAACTACAACAAGCAAACAAGCAGGGCCTGTTAGTACAGTGTGGAGGACGTTTGCCTTGCATGTGGCAGACGGGTCGAATTCCTGCAGCCCATTCGGACAGACCCAGTTCGAACCCCAGCATCCCATCTGAGCAGACCCAGTTTAATCCCCTGTATTCCATATAGGCAGACCTGGTTCAAACCCCAGCATCCCATCTGGGCAGATCCAGTTCAATCTGCGGCATCCCATACGGGCATTTCCAAGCACCACCAGGAGTAATTCCTGAGCACAGAGCCAGGAGTAAGCGGAGCATTGCCGGATGTGGCCCCCTCCCCCCCAAAAACAAACAAACAAACATACAAACAAAAATGTCTGGGCTGGGCGTGGGGCACATTCCAAACAGGCTCCTGCTGCCTGTTCTCAAGGGAAACCAAAAATTGGGATTCTTTTTCTTTCTCTCTCCCTTTCCCTCTGTTGCTGCACTGGTGGCCATGACTGGGGGCTGAGGAGGACACGCACACACTTGAATAAGATGTTCACAGGGGGTCAAACTCATCAGTGGGGGGCTCATACACCCCCTCTGGTCACAGCAGCTGCCACACACATGCCGGTGGGGGTCACCCTCCTGGTCGTGGGGCTCACACACGCTAGGCTGCACACCTGTCACTGCAGTCTGTTACTAGGCCCCGGGCAGCAGTCATAGGGGCCTGTTTTTCACACAGGAGCCACCTTGGGGCTAGAACTCAAGACCTCACTTCTGCCAGGCATGTAGCTTTACTTTTTTTAATTTAAAAAAAAATTTTTTTTTTTAGTGTCACACCAGCGATGCTCAGGGGTTCCTGTACTCAGGGCTCTGTACTCAGGGATCACTCCTGGCGGTGCTCGAGGGACCATATGGGATGCTGGGATTAAACCTGGGTCGGCCATGTGCAAGGCAAACACCCCTCTCTGCTGTCCTATTGCTCCAGCCCTCAGGCATGTAGCTTTAGCCCCTCCTCACCCCGGGGCCCAGAAATTGAATTTTTAAAAGTACAATTTATTTTTTGGGTGGGTGGGGCACCCCCTCCCCAGTACTCAGAGATTACTCCTGGCTTTGTGCTCAGGAATTAATCTTTGCAGTGCTGGGGGGGGGGGTGCGTATAGGATGCTGGGATGGAACCCAGGTTGGCAGCATGCAAAGCAAACGTTGTGCCTGTTGTCCTATCGCTCCACACCCTAAAAGTACAATCTCTAATCTACACATTTTTGCTTTGTTTTTTAGTTTGGCTTTAGGGGGTGCTGGGGATTAACCCCAAAGTCCCAAATGCACTCTCTCATTGGGCCCCCCTTTTTTCCCTGCTTTTTGGGCCATACCCAGCGATGCTCAGGGGTTACTTCTGGCTTTGCACTCTGGAATTACTCCTGGCCGTGCTCGGGGGACCATATGGGATGCCGGAGATAGAATCCGGGTTGGCTGCGTGCAAGGCAAACGCCCTGCCTTAACCGCTATACTATCGCTCCGGGGGCCCTCCCTACTAGATTTTTAATGTTGACATCAATTGAAAAAACACAATGTGTAGGATAACATTGGTGATACGTTCTTTCTCCCTTACCACGGAGAGCTTAGTTTATCACAGTTCTCCTGGGGCACTTCCATTCCTCTGTGTTTATTTGTAACTTCCTTCTCTGTGCTTTGTTTCCCCAACGGTCTATCACTTTTTTCCCTTACTCAAATTCTGTTAAGTGGTAAGGTCAGATTCCTCTGATTTCACATTTGTGAGTGAAATACTGCTTTTCTCTTCTGCTTATGTCCTTTGCATAGTTTATTTTAAAGCAATGTCCTTTTTGTATAGACACAGGAAGACAGTTAATGCCATGCTTTTGTAACTTGGGTCTTAAATGACTCTGAATAATATTCACTCCTGGGCATCTGTTTTCTCGACTTAAGCCTCAACTGGGGTCCTTAGTTTCTAGGACCCCAAAAGAAGGGTCCTGAAAAGGGACTGGATGGACCCAGGGCAAGCTGTGAGCTACCCTCGCATCAAAATGGGCCAGGCCAAAGCGCCACAATACTTAATTATAAGTTAAGAGGATGGTCATGGGCAAATTTTGTCATGATTCAAAAAGTAACAACTGGATTAGGACCCTGATAGGGTTAGGAAAGACTAATCTGGCCTGAACACTGTAGTCTGAGATCTATAGTGAGATGGCCCTAGGAGAGCAATCTTATAGTTTAATGTATCTCTTACTGTGTCCATACAAAATGACTAATATTATTAAGGAGTAGAATTAAAATTAATATTTATATGGTTACTGGACTAAGGAAAGGAGAAACGTACCCCTAGATGGTATTTTGCCCTTAGGTGGGTCGTCTTGCTGAATGAGAGTTTGTCCAGGAAGAAGCTTCCCCTGAGCGAGGGACCTTACATCCGTTGACTGTATGGTCACACTTAGGTGTATTTGCTGCCTCAGCCCCCTTATGACTGGGGAGATAACTAAGGCTGTGAGAGGGGTAGGGAGGATTGAGAGAATCAAGGGGCATCCAACAGGAGAATGAAGGAGCAGGATCTCGAGAGGAAGGATGAAGGGGAATCGAGGGAAGGAGAATCAATAGAGAATGGAAACGAGATTGGAATAAACTGCAATTGAGACCAACCAACCTGGCCCTCCTTTCCTCCTTTGTCCACCCACTGCCTCAGCCATTCCCGGTGAGGGAAGTGTCTCGAGACCACCGAACGCAGGTGTTGAGAGACAAGACAAATACACGACAGTGTAACAGGGTCGGAGAGATGGGACATTTGCCTTGAACACAGGAGACCCAAGTTTGATCCCTGGCACCCCATACGACCTCTTGAGCACTGCCGGGTGTAATTCCTGAGCTCTGTGAGTAACCCCTGAGCGTCACCAGGCGTGGCCCCCAAACCAAAAAAATTTAAAAAGTGAGCACTGTGGGCTAAACCCAGTCCGAACAGTGTGGGTCACCCTGGATTTCAATTTGAAGCATCCTGCCACATCCGTGTGACTTGCCTTTGTTCCTGGAACTGTTCTCACTCACAGGCTCTCTCCCCCGTCATTTGATGTCGAGCATTGAGAGAGAGAGAGAGAGAGAGAGTGAGAGAGAGAGCGCGGGGAAGAGCAGGAGAGAAGCCCAAAGCCCTACAGCCCCCAGCGGAAATCAGGCCATGTAAACACCAGCGTTCCAGATACGGGAAAGTATCTAAAACACCAAAACAGATACCAGGACCCTCATTCCATCCTCAAACCCGCAAGGATGTGGGACAGAGTCCAAGAACGTGGCGCTGTAAACTGAACTATGGTTTATGGTTTATGGTGACCCCCCCCCCCCCAGGTGTTCCTATTCCCCCAGCACAGTTCCTTTGCCTCAGGCTAGCCTTTGTGGGGAAAGGCATGTGCTCTCCGTGGCTTCCAGGGGCAAGGGACGCTGGCGGGTCAGTGAGGAGTACCCTGCAGCCTGAAAACCTGAGTGTGAACCCGGCATGGCAAAGCCCGCACAAAGCACTGCCCTATGTGGCCCGGGAAGCCTCCAGTACCATTGGGTGTGGCCTTGGTGACCCCTGAGTCCCCACTGCTGCGCCCAAGCACAGGGTAGTCAGGTCTGGGTTGGCTTAAGTGTTGGGCCCCTGGGTGCTGCTTAGGGGGCTCCTCAAATATGCAAAAGTGAGAGAACCCCGATTCCTAGCATCCATAGGCGCCTGGTGACCCAGAAGTGACCGACCCTCTTCAAGGCTGGGGAACCCCGTCAGGGCAGCAATCCGGTCATCGAGATTGTTTATCTGGAGGATGTTCCATTTACCAAATACCCAGCTGGGCTCCAGTGTGCAGAGACACACATAGCAATGTTCCCTCTGCAGCTCTGAAGCTGCCCAAGCTCTGACCCCAACAAGGGTCCCCGCTTTTTTTTTTTTTTTTTGCTTTTTGGGTCACACTCGGCAATGCTCAGGGGTTACTCCTGGCTCTGCACTCAGGAATTACTCCTGACGGTGCTCAGGGGACCATATGGGATGCTGGGATTCGAACCCGGGTCCGCTGCATACAAGGCAAACGCCCTACCCACTCTGCTATCGCTCCAGCCAAGGGGTTCCGGCCTTATCCCATCAATGATGCACCCGAGTGATTCTGAGAAAAGCCTGGAATCCCAGGGAGGAAGAGCAGAGCCTGGGGCCTCCGGGCATCCACAGATGCTCAGAGCGTCTCCCTGGGGCCCCGCCACCCTCCTGGCGACTTGGCCACCAGCGACCCCGCCCTCCTCCAAGTCCCACATTACCTCTGGCCACCCCGCAGTCAGGTGTGCATGAGTACCTCCCCGAAAGTGTGACCCTCGGTGGGCACTGCAGAGACTCCCAGTGAGCACTATAACCGGGACTCACATGCCCCCACTGCAACTAAGCCCACGAGTACCCGGGCTGAAAATGGGAGAAAGGCGGGCAGACCCCTCCCACCCCCCCACCCCACCCCCCGCCCCAACCCCGGCACCAGACACGCGTGCGTACGGCAACACCAGCTGGAATGATAGAGGGAAAGGGAGGGGAGGAAACGCCCTCACCCCTCCGCCTCAATCCAAACCCGCCCATGCTATTTCCACTAAGCCAACGTTGTTCCAAGGGGCGCTGGAAGGTGAGAGAGGCCATCTCTGATCAAAAAACTGCTCCCGCGTTCCCTCGCTGTTTGGGACCATAGCAACACCCTAGGTCGCACACAGGGGTCACCTGCGAGCCCCGCAAGGTCCCCTAATGTTGCTCTTATTCTGCTTTGGGGTCCCACCTGATGGTGCTCAGGGGTCACTCCTGATGGGGCTGGGTGGGGGTGGTGCTGGGGATCAAATCAGGGTTGGGCCACATGCAAGGCAAGCGTCTTAGCTCTGTACTCTCTCTTTCTCTCTCTCTCTTTCTCTGCCTGACACCCCCCCTCCCCAAAAGGAAGTTTTTCAAAGCTGATAAGAAGCAAATGAAAAACACATCCTGCCTTGGGGGACAGGAAGTCCTTCGTGAAACCATCAGGGGACCTACTTGTGCCAAACCTCGGAGGCCGTGTGGTTGGGGTGTGTGTGTGGGGGATGTCCTTGACGGTGGAGCAATTGTGGTCCAGTGGAGACCTTAAAGCACCCAGAGCCGATCTCTTCCCTTCCTGGGATTTGTTTACAGCCCAGCTGACCAAGCACCCCCCCCCCCCACCAGCACCCTGGAAGGACGTCAAGGGAACATCTGCTTACTATTTGTACTGCACCTGGTAGACCACCGGCCCCGTGTCATCAGGCGGGGGGACTGGATCCCAGCTCAGAACCTGCTGCGCATTGTACAGGAGAATCTTCAGGTTCTGAGGAGCCGGCAGCTGGACAGGAGGGTCTTGAGAAGGACCGAGAGGGAGAGAGAGGAGAGAGGGGAGAGAGAGGGTCATGCTCTGGGTCTATCGCCCACACGCTCATGTCCACAGACAACTGGGCGCCTGCCACAGTGCATGGAGCAGCCATTCCCCCTGCCAAGAATGCCAAGAACCCGTCCTGGGGGGTTGGCACCATGGACAGGGGGGCGGGGTTGCCCCCTCCCCACCCCCACCCATCCTGTGAGTTCCAGGAAGTGTCCCTCAGGACTTAGATGTCCCACCTTCCGTGACATGTGTGAGTGGACAGACCACTGTGCAATCTGGGACTCACTCTCAGAGTTGGGGATGAAGCTCACGGCCGGGTGCAGGCCCCACAGACAGGAGGCCTTGGGAACCACACCCCAGATGAACAGCCCTCAGGCTGTAGTGAAGATGAACTTGGCCATGTGATACGCACTGGCCTAGACATAGCACCAGCAGTTAGTGAAGGAACACATACACACACACACGCACGCATGCATGAACACACATATATGCACACACACATGCACGCACAAACACACTCACTCATATACACTCACAGATACACACACTCACATAACAAACTCATTCATATATATTCACACACACAGACACACACTCCTGCCCCTGCGCCTGGCTGTCCTCCCCTCCCCTTGGAGGGGAGCGGGTTGAACTTTCCTCCCTGCCCCGACCAGGGCTCCGGCAGCTGAAGACCTCCAGGACCAGCCACCACCATGCTGAGACCACTCTCCGCACACATGAAGGTACTGGCAGAGGGACAAAGGCAAGCAGGTTCCTGGAGCTGAGATCTCCAAGCCTACTTGGATCGGGGTGAGCATCCTCCACCCAGATCCTCCGAATTCCAGTACACGGGGGTTACACCCACCAACTGGCCCCCTGGCGCTGTGTAATCCCATCAACGGCCAAGACTCAGAGACTATAAAAACCAGCTCCTGGAACATCTTATTATGACATCTTATTATCTCATTCCTACTTTGGACAAATGGCAGGCTACCAAATGTAGCCTGCCCACATGGCAGAGTCTGGCAAACTCCCCATGGCATACCCAATATGCCAAATACCAGTAACAATGATGGGTCTCATTCTCCTAAAGAGCCTTGAATATAATCTCAGGGCTAGGATGAAGGAGATGTTACTGGGGCCTGCTCGAGGCAATCGACAGACACACAACCACACTCACTCTCACATAACCCATCCACACACACACACACACACACACACACTCACCCACCACCTCCGAACCCTGGGAGCAGAAGCAATCTGTCCCCAGAATTCATTAGCATTGTTATTTCTTTAGTTTTGAGAGGGGTGGGGAGGTGCACCTGGCGGTTCTCAGGGGTTACTCTGCAAGTTGTGGGTCATTCCCGGCAGTGCTCCTGGGATCATGTGGTTGCTGGGGACTGAATGCAGAGCCTGTGCCAGGGCAGGCTCTGAGTCATCTCCCCAAACCCTGAATTGTGGAAGATTCCTCCCTCCCCACCCACTACTCAGTCTCAACATCCCATCCCTAAGGTTTGGGTTAAAATACAGATTCCCAGGCCCTGGCCGGAAACTTGCATTTTCTTTCTTTCTTATTTTTTTTTTCTTTTTGTGTCACAACCAGAGATGCACAAGGGTTCCTCCTGGCTCTGCACTCAGGAATCACTCCTGGTGGTGCCCAGGGGAAGATAATGGATGCTGGGATTGGAACCTGGGTTGGCCACATGCAAGGCAAACGCACTGCCTGCTGTGCTATTGCTCCAGCCCCGAAACTTGCTTTTTCAACAAGCTTCCCAGTGTGTCTCTCTGCCCACTGAATGTCAAGGTAGGGCAAAGGGGCTGGAGGGAGAGTACAGTGGGTAGGGAGCTTGCTTTGCATGCGGTCAACCTGCTTTAGCCCATATGGTATCCCCGAGTCACACCAGAAGTGATCCCTGAGCACAGAACCAGAAATAAACCCTGAACATTGCTTAAAATCAAAAATCAGAAGGAGAGGGAGCGGGAGAGAGGGAGAGAGAAAGAGAGAAAGAGGGAGGGAGGGAGGGAGGGAGGGAGGGAGGGAGATAGAGATAGAGAGAGAGAAAGAAAGGTAGGCAAGTGTGTGTGTGTGTGTGTGTGTGTGTGTGTGTGTGTGTGTGTGTGTCCGGGTCCTCTGATTAGTTATACACAGAGAGAACGTGGGCTGCCAAGTTTAGGTCCCTAATCAGACGGCCTTAATATCTGGAGATAAGTCTAGATTCTGGGGTGAACTCAAAAGTCATTGTGAGGGCATCTGCGGAGAACCTTAAAAGGGTTCAAGAGGCCAATCCAACCCCCAGAGCCTGAATGACGCCAGGATTTCAGTCCTGTGAAAGGTGACATGCATTGGCCTAGGTATAGCACCGGGAGTTAGTGCTACCCACCTTTCTCTCTCCACCCACTGTCTGGACTGCAAGGCAAAGCTTGGGCTGCTGATTTATTGCAACAGGAAATGGAGACACTCCCCAGTGGGAGACATGTGGTTTTGACAACACTCCCAGTGCTACAAGATAAAAAGCTCAAAGTCCCAGGGCCGGAGAGATAGTACAATGGGTAAGGCGCTTGCACGTGGCCGACCCGGGTTCAATCCCCGGAATCCCACAGCATCCCCTGAGCTCTGTCAGGTGTGATTCCCTGAGTGCAGAGTCAGGAGGAAGCACTGAGCACTACCAGGCGTACCCCCCAAAAAAAAACAAAACACCACCACAGAAGCTCACAGGATACACACAGCCTCACTCCATCTCTGTGTTCAAACTTTGATCTCTGGGGCAACTCACTGGGACTGTACCCAGGAAGCAAGGAATGCACTTCACCACTGAGGCCCATTCCAGGGCTCTGACTCATCAGCACTTCCTGATAGATGAGATAAAGATCTACTGGATGTCCAGGAAGTCTGCGTGAAAGTGCACACTTCTTCTCAAGACACCATCCAAGCCTCTAAAACGCTTCATGTAGATATTTACACATCGGATACACTGGTGGCATGGCTTAAATACACACCAACTGCACATTATCATGAATTTGGACATAAATCATAAATTAAACACACACACACACACACACACACACACACACACATGTGCGCGCGCGCTCAGACACGTGTATATATAGTCCATTCCTGGCAGTGCTGGGGTGGGGAGGGGCAGGCAGTGGGATCGAACCAGGGACTTCAAGCATGCAAGGCGAACGCTCTGCCACCAGAACCATATCCTGGCCTTTGTCCACCTTCAACAGCTGAAACCATAGAGCTGTTGGAGTCTTTGGTGGCAAACTCTAGGAATGCTAGCACCAGCTTCCATGAAATTTGATTACTGGCAAGGACTTGTCAAGAGGTGCTCAGGACATCTGAGGGCCCCAGTGGTAATTCTTGGTCAACTAGGTTGTGGCTGCCGTTGCCCGGGACTGGCAGGGTGGGGGTGGCTGGGGAGGGTCTCTAAGCTTATCCGCTTTTGGATGCTTGAGTGGGGAAATGTCATTTTGTAGCAGAAGTCTGAAGGCAATCTATCAGCTACAAGAGTTACAAAGAGAAGCCTTCTTCACCGGGCAGGGTCATCAGGCTGACTCATGCACTTCAGTGATGACTAGGTTTCTGTCCCAAGCAAAAGACCACCATACAGCATTACCATAAGTCTATACCCTGACTCCCCATATTTTAACAAATCTAAATGGGAAATAAGACAAGTTTCCCCTTTTAAGATCTCCTTGCTTCCCCATCTTGGACCATGAATGCAATATTTGGTTATTGAAAGACTCTTGTAAGTTTCAGAACATGTGTGGCCATTTTCAGTCCCTGACTAACTATAGGCTCAGTTGTTAATATTTGCTCTTCGTTTTGATTTAAGAAGAGCTTCTCTGGGACTGGAGCAATAATACAGCGGGTAGGGCGTTTGCCTTGCACGCAACCGACCCAGGCTTCCCATATTCCCAGCATCCCCTATGGTCCTCTGAGTACCGCCAGGAGTAATTTCTGAGTGCAAAGCCAGGAGTAACCCCTGATGCATCGCCAGGTGTGACCCAAAAAGCAAAAAAAAAAAAAAAAAAAAAAAAAAAAAGAGGAGCTTTTCTTAGGGCCAGAGAGATATACAATTGCCTTGCTCGCAGCTGACCTGGGGTTCAATCCCTGGCATCCCATAGAAACCCCTATGCCTGCACTAAATTCAGGCCAGGAGTAACACCTGGGCATCACCAGATGTGCCCCTCCATCCAAAAGAGAAGAGCTTTCCTTAAAAAAATATCCCTGTTACGGGTTGAAGGTGTGGCTCAGGGGTGAGGTAGGGGAACACAAGCCCTGCAAGTGAGGCTCTGGGTTCAATGACATGAATGGCCAATTATAATAATAAATTCAAGAAAATAAAAAAAAATTGCGTGTTTGTGTTTGGGGGCCAACACCCAGCAGTGCTCAGGGCTTCCACCTAGCTCTGTGCTCAGGGATCACACCTGGGAGGGTTGAGAGGGGCTGTGGCACTGGGGATCGAACCTGGGTCAACTACACGCAAGGCAAGAACCTTACTGACTATCCAATCTCTCGGGCCCATCCCAGGGTGTGTTAAATCATGTGTTATGAACCCCCTAAATCAAACAGTGCTTAAGTAGTATAAAGTGTTGCTCATCAAGAGACAAACCACAAAGGATCAGTTGTACCATACAGATCCAAATCTTTTTTTTCCTTTTTGGGTGAGCTAGAGCGATAGCACAATGGGTAGGGAGTTTGACTTGCACGCAGCCGACCCGGCCCACCCGGCTGACCCAAGTTCAATTCCTCCGTCCTTCTCAGAGAGCCTGGCAAGCTACTGAGAGTATCTCGCCCGCTCTGCAAAGCCTAGCAAGTTACCTGTGACGTATTTGATGTGCCAAACACAGTAACAACAAGTCTCACAATGGAGATGTTACTGGGCCCACTCGAGCAAATCGATGAAAAACGGGAGGACAATGCAGTGCAGTGTTTTTTGGGTCCACCTGGCGATGCTCGGGTTCCTCCTGGCTCTGCACTCAGGAATTACCTCTTGCGGTGTTCAGGGGACCATATGGGATGCTGGGCATCGAACCTGGGGATCGAACATGGATCCACCGCATGCAAGGTAAATGCCCTACCCACTGTACTATCACTCCAGCCCCAATCCGAATCTTTATAGCATTCTTGTGGGGAGGGCCAACATCAGATCTCAACAGGTTCTTGGCTTAAACTCTGGGCTTATGGCAACCAATAGTCAGTTCTCCACCGGGGAATGCTCCCCAAGCCTGATCACACGGAGGGGTAGGGAACGCAGTCCAGTTCCACACGACACCCAGCACTGTGAAGCACTCCAGCCCAGGGCGCAGGGATTGCGTTGGGCCTTTGCCAGGGTTGCTGGGGGAGAAGAAATAAGGCCAGACCACTTAGAACTCAGACGGCAAGGCAGACCCTGGCATGGAGGGTCCCACCTATAGTCTCCGGAGCACTGCCAGGAGTGACCCCTGAGCACCATCGGGTGTGACGCCAACTCCCCGCCACCCCCAAAAGAAAGAGAGAGGAGCATCCGTCCAGGTGGGACGCTGTCCAGAGGTGAGCAGAGCTGGGATTAGACGCCTGAGCCCCTCCCCGCGACCGCAAACCACCCCCAGTCTGGACCCTGGGTCTCCAAGACCGACTCCCCCGCGCGGTGCCCGAGCGCACCCCCTGCCCCGGGCACCCCCCGGCGGTGGCGCCCAGGGCAGGCCAGGGCAGAGAAGGTGGCGGCTGGCACCGTGGAAACTCCAGGTCGGCCCGGACGCCCAGACGCCTGGACTCCGAGCTTCCTCTGCCCGTTTTGGGAAATGGGGAAGCGTCGCCGCTAGAGTCCCGCATTCCACAGCAGGGGACGTCTTGGAGGGGTCCGGGCGCCGGGTGGTCGCAGCTCTCTCCCAGCCAGTCGCTTGGCTGCTGGCCTGGAGGCTGCGGGAATCCCCCTTCCGTCTAGCCCGCACCCTCAGTGGGAGCCCAGGGCTTTCGGCAGACCCCCTGCCCCCGCAGCCCCACCTAGCGATGTTCACAACCCACGAGGCCCGGGAGAGAGTCCAGGCGGTCCCAAGTGACCGCTGCCCGGCCTCTCCCCGTGCGCCCCCAGGACCTCCCCCCCCCACCACAGGCGATCGGGACATCGCCACCCCCCACCGCAGGCGATCGCGACATCGCCACCCCCCACCGCAGGCGATCGCGACATCCCCCAGCCCCGCATCCGCCGCACGATCGACTCGCGGGGCTCGGCGGGGTGGAGAGGTGGGGGGGGGCGCGCGGCCGCCCTTTACCTGTCGGGGGCTCCGCCGCCCCGCTGCCGCTGAGCAACGGCAGCAGGAGCCACAGCGGCAGCGGCAGCCGCATGGCCCGGGGCTCCCGGCGATGCCGGGCGCCGGGCACGCTCCAGCCGCGGCTCACGGCACTGTAAGCGCGGCCATGGCGGGGTGCGGGGTGCGGGCAGCCGAGCCCGCCTCTTCCCGAGCGGCGCAGGCGGTGGCGCGGCCCCGCCGCAGGGCAGCCCATAAAAGCCTCCCGCCCCGCCTCTAGCCACGCCCCTTCCAGTGCCCGCCCTGGACACGCCCCCTCCCAGAGCCCCTCACGCCCTTTCCCAGTGTTCGCCCCGCCGTAACCACGTCCCTTCAGAGCCCGCCCCGCCCCTCACGGCCTTTCCCAGATTCCGCCCCGCCATAACCACGCCCCTTCAGAGCCCGCCCCGCCCCTCACGGCCTTTCCCAGAGTCCGCCCCGCCATAACCACGCCCCTTCAAAGCCCGCCCCTCTCCTAACCGCGCCTCTCACATGGCCTTGTCACGCCCCTAACACCGCCCTCTCCCAGAGCCCGGCCCGGCATAACCACGCCCCTTCCCAGAGCTCGCCCCCTAACCACTCCCCCTCATGAACGCAAGTCCCTGGCGAGGGACTTTCCTGAGACCTGGGTTGCTCTCCTCGCGCACGCCGTGCAGGCCAGAACCGCGTTCGGTGCAGGGGGCCTCGAATGCCCCGGGCTCGCGGGAGGGGCGCAGCGGGATCGGGGGCGGTGGTGAGGCATGTGGCCCTCCGGGAAGGTCCCTGCCAAGGCCTTAGTGGGGCGCATGCACGCCGCGCCCAGCCCCATCCGCGCCTCTGCCGGGGCTCCGGCCACGCCTGGGGACGCGCCATCCGAGAGTTCCTCTCGAGTATATAAACTTTGCCCTCTTAACGTCCTCGCGGGGACGTCTGAGGTTTTTAACCCTGTTTGAAATCACCTTTTAAGGGGGTTGAGTGGTTCGAAAGAGAAGGAGGAAGCGGGGAGCGGGGGTTGGGCGTGGTGGGCACCGAGGGAAAGCGAGGAGAAAGTGCCAAAACTCTTGGCCAGGGCTTGGCCCAGACCACTTTCCGGCTGTGAAATGTTGGAGGAAGTAACCTTAGGATCAGACTGTGGGGCTGCAGGTGGTGGAGGGGTGGGGCGTAGGGGGCGTAGGGGTGGGGGTGGAGGGGCGGAAGGGTGAGGCTAAGGGTGGAGGAGAGGGGCTGAGTGGGCCGCGGGGGCAAGGGGCGACGCCTGGATAAAGAGGAGGAGTTGAGTGGTTACGGGGAGAAACTGGGGCGGGGCTAAGTGCTGAAGAGGAGGGGCTTATGGATTGGGGGCGTGGTCTACAGACAAAGGGGATGGGGCTTCTGGGGGAGTTGGCGCCGGGGACCGGAAGCGGGGGATGTGGGGGCTGCGGGGGATGAGGGGGCTGCTGGCGACCTCAGAGCACAGTCTGTGAGTCATTTTCATGCCCCGGAGAAGAATTTGAATCTGATCTCCCCAGTGACGACATAAATGAATGGGGAGAGACAGACTGAGGACTAAAGAGGGGCAGGGGTGGGGGCGGGGGCGTGTCGTCCAGGGCTCAAAATGGATCTTTGCTGGACAGGCTTGTGGGGGGAGGGGGCTGGGGGGGACGAATTGGCGCCCCAGAGGTTCCCACGGAAACTCTTTCCGTGCTTCGCTTTCCCGAGAGCTCTTGAAATTGGCCTCAGTTGCAAATGTGGATTGAAGGATCTTGTGGCTATTGAAGTTGTATTTTGAGTGGAATTTTTGGGGGGAATGTGGTAGGGGGTTCCCCAGCATTATTTAGGGGGCCTGAGGGTACCCAATATGCTGTGCTGTGCAGGGTCTAGCAATGGGGGTCTTCAGGACCACACCAAGTGGTGCTGGGGGTCCTGTGGTGGCCCAGGCTCCAATTCAGGGGCCTCTTAAAGCAATACCCCTCACCACCACCACCCTGCCCATATCTCTACTTATATATTTATTTATTTATGTCATTTTGTGTCACATCCGAATCAATGCTCGGGGGTTACTCCTGGCTCTGCACTCAGGAATTACTCCTGACGGTGCTTGGGGGACCAAATGGGATGCCATAAATGGAACAGGGTCAGCCGTGTGCAAGGCAAACACCCTACCTGCTGGACTATGGCTTTGGCCACGCTGTCCAGATTTTTAAAGGCATAGAAACATGTTTATAGTCTCTGTAAGATTAGTAAAATGCAAGTTAGAATTCTGGCAAAAATGATGCATAAAATAAATAAGAACATCAACCAAAATATTAAGGAGAGGTAGTAGGGGTGGTGGTAAGCCCTTGGTTTTAATTATTATTATTTATTATTATTGTAATTTACTCTTGTATCCCCCTAATTTGCGCGTGGGCAAATACACAACACACACACACACACATGCACATACACACACCACAGACCCACAGTGCTTAGTCATGATCCTCAGGTCATTACTGGCATTGCTGGGGGACCCTCGGTGGTACTGGGATAGAACCCAGCTTGGCTCTGTGCAAAGTGAGCGCCTTAGCCTCTGTACTGTTACTTTGCATATCTTTCATAACCAAGGAAAGGAAATCATGTTGGAAGAACAAATGTTCCCGTTTCTGCCCACACTAAGACCCTGTGGTTTCCTTTATGTAGTTTTCTAGGGCAGGGCCAATGAAGCCAGAAGTCTGGGGGTTCAGTAAAGCCCCAGGGATATGCTCCTCTCCCTCACAGGGATCTCCCCACCCAGCTCTTTTCTGTTCAAGCCTGGGGTTGGGGATTCCCTTGTGTCCTTGTCAGGGGCTGGAGACATAGTACAACATAGTACATTCTTGCCTTGCATGTGGTCATATGGTCCCTTGAGCATCATTGGATATGACATAACCATCGACCACCCCTCCCCTCCTGCCCCTTTTCAGAGTGCTAAAAAAGGAACATGCCCACTTTACTCAGGTTGTTCCCCAAATTCAAAGCCCCTTACCCTGGAAAGATCAATTTACAAACTAGAAATCCCAGACCCACTCTTCCTTCTCTCACTGAGTCTGATCAGACAGGAAACCAATCTAGTAGTATTTCCTTTTATTTATTTATTTATTTTTGCTTTTGGGCTACACTAATGGGAACTCAGGGATTACTCCTGGCTCTGTGCTCACTAATGGGGGGCCTGGGGGACCATATGGATGCCAGAGATAGAGCTCGGGTTGGCCATGTGCTTACCCACTGTACTACTGTTGATACTACAGTTGGCTCTGGCCAACTGTTGATTCTTCCTGAGAAGGTTTCCTTGCCCAGCTCCCATCCTCCCTTACAGTCAATTTATTTACCCTGCATCCACTAAACACCCTCTCTAGTGCTACCTCCATCCCCCGCATCTAATGTTTCAGCACCCTGATGACTGCATTGTAACCCACAGAAAGTTCTCCTGGGTTGGGGATGTGACTCAGAGGGCTGAGCATCTGTCTGTATGGTTTGATCCTTGGCAGTGCATACAATCCCCTAAGGACCCTTAGGAGTGACCCCAGAGCACTGGGCCAGGAGCATCCCTGAATATGCTGTGATCCAAATCACTCCACACCCCTTTAAAAAAAAAGGAAGAAACTGGGCAGAAGAGAAAGGACAGTGGACAGTGGGTAAAGCTCTTCCTTGCATGTGGATGACCCAAGTTCTATTCCCTGCTATCCCCAAGTGCCACCAAGTGTGCCCCTCTCTCCCCCAGTAAGAGAGAAAGCGGGACCAGGAATGCAGCTCAATGGTAGAGCATAGTGAGAACGGAACCCAGGGTTCCGTTTCTGGCGCTGCAAATAAGCAAAAATAAAGAGAATTGTATCTGTGTTTTGGGTGGCTGCCAAAACTTGATATTCCTGACCCTAATGGGTCCAGTGCAGGGGGAAAGATCCATCAATGCTGGCTGGGGCTAGGGCCTCCTTCTGTATGGGAAGTGATGGGGAGGACCTGGCGAGTTCTCCTGCATCCTCAGCCAGGATGCACGTTGGGAGGCTTCTTGGGTTTGTGAGGCAGAACAACACCGCTCATGGATCCCCGCTTTCAGAAAAGACAAGGAGAGGAGTGTTGCCCTTTGGTGTTACAAACGGCCATTTGGGAGCCCAGCAGGTTGGCCCTGAGCCAGCGTTCATTTGCAGTTCCAGGGATGGACAGACCCGGCTGGGATCAATCAACACAGCACAGCCAGGCGCCCCTCACTGTTGTAGCTGGGGCTTCTGACCACATCTCTGAGAAGGACGGGCGCCGTCTCTCCAGCAGGGTCAGGCGAGAGCTGCCCTAGGACCCAGGGCTCCCACTCCCACCCAAACCCAAAAACATTCGCCAGAAAAGATGCATGTACGCTTGTGATCATGGCAGAGCCGAGAGCCATCGCCAGGACACAGCCCAAATGGCCAAATATGGATGAATGAAGAACTGTGGTGGAGACACAATTAAGCACTGCGGAGCACCAAGGAAGCATGAAAGCTGCAGTTTGCTACCACATAGATAGAGCTGGAGACAGCCGCCTCATGTTGAGAGGTCACAGGGAGAAGGATAAACACCAGATGGTCTGGGGTACAAAGAAAAGGAAAACAAGAGAAAAGGTAGTATCAGATCCTTGGCCCCCCATCACAAAAGTCAGATTACCAAACAGTGCGGGAGGATGTAGTCTGCGTGTGTGTGTGCGCACGCGCGTGCGTTGGAGAACGTGAGGTGGACAGGAAGTAATGTAAGGATGGTGGTAATTCCTGGGCACTGTGGTCAGGAAGAGACGATACATCAGGATCATAAAGATTAATGCTGATATAAACAAGCAAACTAAACTGCAAGGAAAAATAAAGAGGGTAAGGCTGCTGGGGCTTCTGGAAGTACATCGGGGTGGGGAGGAGGATGCCCCGAGAAGACCCCAGAGTTCTCGGCTTGAATTCCAAGTGTGTACCTGGAGTTTCCACAGCTTGGTCTCTCTGCAGAGATTTTTCATGATGAAAGGGAGTTGGGTCGTTCCGAGTTCGATTCCTCCACCCCTCTCGCAGAGTCCGGCAAGCTGCCAAGAGTATCTCGCCCACACGGCAGAGCCTGGCAAGCTACCCGTGATGTATTCGATATGCCAAACACAGTAATAACAAAGTCTCCAATGGAGACGTTACTGGGCCCGCTTGAGCAAATCGATGAACAACGGGAGGACAGTGACAGTGATTCTCAGAAAGACCAATTAGATCATAATCAGAAGCAAAA